CCCCCTTTTTTGAAAAACCCCCTCTTCCTAAAAAAAAAAAAAAAGGAGGTTTATGGAGTTTTCGAAAAAGCGTTTTTTCTGAAAAAAAACGGCATCCAGACTACTTTCACTTTAGAAAAACCCACTTTTGAAAAAGCGATCAGAAGAAGATATGCAAATTAGCACTGAATTTGCATATATCTTAAAAAAACCTGTAGTCTAGACGTACGCTAAGCGTGGGGAGCAGGGGAAATCGATCAAGCTGTGGAGCCCTCTGGGAGTATGAGAAAACCCAACTGAAGGGGTCGTGGCAGCCTGGGAGCCTAGGCAGACTAGGCAGTTGCCTAAGGCGCTGCCGGCTTGGGCGCCGGATGATGACGTCATAGGGCACCCCGTGATGACGTCACACCCATTGACGGTCGTGCAGGCGGGGGCACCGATCGCGCCTTCCGCCTGGGGCGCCAGCTGCTACAGCTGGCCTTGGGCCACTCCTGGAAGGGGTAATGGTCAGTCAGCAGGGTGCGAAACTGGCTCCTCCAGCCCTGCAGAGCACACGCTAGCACTTGAGCGTATGGAGTAAAAGCTGTGAGCCAGCAGCAGTAGTAGGTTGCTACCTTCCAGAAGACCAGCCACATGAGGCAATACCCATTTTGCTGGGGACAGACACGGCCTCAGGAATGGGCCCGCTCTTCTCTCTCCCATTTCTGACTTCTGGGACGGCAGCATTACCGAGTCCCCATGTCGCCACGTGTGGTTTTCGTGGGCGTCATCGTGCAATTCCTGGGGCTTCTCCAAGGACAGCCTAGGAAGCCGTTGGGGGTATGTTTAGGAGGGTCCGAGTTGGTGGGGAGGTTTGTATTCGTGCTGTGTGGTGTGTGGGTACGAGGAGGACTTGGGTTGCCATGTTAGTGCCCCTGCGCGGTTCCCTTGAAAAGAAATCGCCCAGCTGGTGACGAATCCGGCCAGGAAAATGATGTGGCTGTCCCGCTGGCTTTGCTCCCCTGCAGGGCTACTTCCAGAAAGGGAAGGTGCTGCTGGCGATGGGACAGATGTCAGAAGCCCTGCTGCAGTTCCACCACTGCCTTACGCTGAACCCCGCTTTCCATGCCGCTCGGCACGAGATGGAAAAGGTGAACATATCCGGTGGGGCCGTCCTCACAATCGATGGGGCCCTAGCCCCGCCACGGGTCTTGTTCTGCCCCCAGCCCACAGCCCCCTATCCTCTTCCCGCCCCCTCCCCATGGTGTTTGAGTTGGGAGGCCCCAGCAGGGAGGGGGTTAAATGCCTGGATGCTACCGAGGGCTGGGCAGCCCTCTGGGAGTCTGAGCTGGTCCAGCCTCCCGACTCGGGTGGCCTCCGGTCAGGAGGAACCAGCCACAGCAGTAAGAGGGTAACCCCCCGCCCCCCAGCATTGGGGCATTTCCAGGACAGTGGGTAAGAGCGGATCAGCCCCTGGTGCTGGGGCCTTTCAGCCCAAGAGCCAGGCTCTGTTTAAACCTCTCAATTTCCCAGGAAGTTGAAAGCCGGGCGTGGATTTCAGGGCCCTTGAATTAGGCAGCAAAATAAAGCGGTGATCCTGCTGCCCTGCCGTGGTGCTAACCCGGCCAGCGTTGGCGGGGAGGAGGAATCGCCCGGGCCCGAATGCAGCTATTGCAGGCGTCCTCCGCCGGCCCCGGACCATCACCAGGCAAAAGCCTGGCCGTTTTCCTGCCAAGAAACCTGCGTCCCGAGCCGCCTCTCACAGTCGCTTGCTTGGGGGTGTTTTTGAGGGGTCCCTGAGCCCGCTGCAGAAACCACCCTGACGTTAGGCAGCCTCCACCGGCCACGCGCTCTGTGCCGGTTTATTCCGGGAGATGTTCCCTCCGTCCGAGTCGCTGTGGGTGAGCCGGGCCGGGTGGCACCGCCCCTCTCCATGTTGTGTCCGGTTTATCACCGCCCTCCCCAGCGCTGCCCGTTGCCACCCCCACGTCGGCTCTCTCCTGCTGCCCTGTCTCCCCACCCCACTGCGCTGCCGGGGCAGGAGGGGGCAATGGGTAGAACTGGCCTGTCGCGGCGGCAGGACTCCAGGATTCTGCCCAGAAGCTGGGAAGAAAAGAAATTGGGCTTGAATCTTCATCTCTACCCAACCCTGTCCCGTAGCTCTTGGGCTGGCGGGCCTTTGTAGGAGTGTGGGGCTGGGGGGCAGAGAGGATTGAGAGCGGAGGGGGGGTCAGAAATTGTAGGGAGGGCTGGGTAGGGACGGTTAAAGGAGGCTGTGCCTCCCCAAACAGCCAGGCATGGCCTCCTATCAGGCCCCCCAAACGTTCTATTCCCTATCCAACCCCCTGACTGCGCCCCCCGCTTCTCTTCCCCTCCTTATCCAGCCCCCCCACTTCCCTTCCCCTGACCACTCCACTAGGAGCCTTGCTCCTATCTAATGCCCCCACTGTCTGCCCTCCGGCCACGTCGCCCAGAGTACCAGGGCTAGCAGTGCTACAGCCGTGCCGCCCAGACCGTCGGGGCTGGCGCTGCGGCAACTGTGCCACCCAGCGCTAGGGGAGCCGGGACAGAAGGGAGGGGTTTGGGGGCGAGCCTCGCTGGGTGGGAACTCGGGGACCGGACAGAAGGGTCTGACGGGCTGGATGTGGCTCGTGGGCCATAGTTCGCCCCCCTCTGGCTTACTCTTCCGCCCTCCCACCCCCCCGATCTAGAAACCCCCTTCCGCCTTCCGGTTTGATTTCCCCTGCCCCCGACATGTGACGCGTCTCCTCTGCCCGCAGCTCCTCGCGCAGGAGTCCCCGCTGCCAGGCCCTGTCGTGGAGCGACCGAGCGCCGCCAGCCTGGACGCCAAACACAGCAACTCAGGGAAGGAAGGAGCAGGCCCTCTGCCAAGGCCGCCCCGTGGAGGAGAGTACGGGCAGGTGAGGGGCCTCTCGGGCCTGCTGTGCTGGTGGGTGCAGGAGCAAAGCTCCGGGGAAGGCGTGTGAGGGCGGCAGGAGATCAGTCCTGGGCGCAGGGTGTTGCCCTGGCATTGGGAAGGGGCTGATGGGCGGACGGAGGCAGCTGCTAGCAGAGATGCAGCCCAGCAGAGGAAGGAACGGAGCGGGGGCGGGGGGAACACCGGGGAAGCGGTACCCCCACATCTTGCGAAGGGCTTGGGCAGGCATGAGAAATCACCCCTTTTCCATGTGCCCCCCCAACC